AGTGGGTCAGCAAAAAGCAAGAATGTGGTACTGAAAGGGGGGCAGGCAATCAGTAAAATTGGGGTGCTTAGCATTGGGTTATTAAGTGAGTGAGAGTAATTTGAGGATACATTGTGGGTATAATATCATGAGAGTAAACACTAATCAAGTGTCAATCATTGAGGTATGAATAATAAGTGCGCTCCATGAACATGTTTAAGGTAGGAGAGTAAGAATGATGTAAGGGAAAAGGATGCTACAAGCAAGGTGAGTGGATGAAGTAAAAGTAAATATATGCAGAAAATCATATTTGTTTTTCAGTTACCTTTAATAATCATTTGCTGCAATTGTAAATGTTTATTAAATTGTGATGTATGTCCATTTCAGTTGAAGGATGTAATACAATACAGTGTGCCAATGAAGGGACTTGTTACATGGACAATCAGAAAGCTAAGTGCAGGTGAGTATGTTATATATATATAAAAAATCTTGACCAATAGTTCAACTTCGTCCACAACTACATGTACTGATGTATTGTAAAATACTTATTTTCACTTGAAATTAATTTTCGCTATTTTTGCTGAAGGAGTGATTCAGTGAGAATAAAATCCAGCGATTATACCAGCTTTCCTATATTTTACATTCAACTTGTAAAAAATCAGTGAAAATAAATTCCACACAAAATGCCCAAAAAGTCTTTTCAGCGAAAGTATTTTACAGTATGTGGATTGATGTATCTAACATATTTGACTTAGAGTGTTATTCAGTTTCCATTATCCACATGGGTATCATGTCCATGCTTTCAAATAAAATAGTGTGGTATTCAAAAATGCCATGCACTGTATCACTCGTATCCACTGTCAAATCTTGGTATTTTCCATAATTAACTTTTAAAAATTGCATACAACACAGGCTTGGCAGGTATTATCCATGACAATCTGGCTTTTACAATGCAGTTGCTTATTATTTTTGCACTAGATGCCCAGACCGATACTCTGGCGACCGTTGTCAAACCGACGTGTGTTTGAATCACTGTCTGAATGGTGCTACTTGCACTGCTTTACGAGGTCAGCCAATATGCAGCTGTACGGATCGTTATGAAGGGCTACGATGTAAACGGGATAAGTGCAATGGATTCTGTTACCATGACAGCAAATGTGAAATATTGAATGGTCAACCTTCCTGCATGTGAGTCATTGTTTTAAATATATGACCAAATATTGTAAAATAAAGTGTTGTAAAATGTTACAATATATTGTAATAAGTTGTTTTGAAGTTGGAAAATGTTGTAATAAGTTGATTGGAAGTTGAACATTTTCAAAAAATATAATAAGTTAATTTGAAGTTGAACAGTGTTCACAGAATGTTGTAATAAGTTGATTGGAAGTGTATTTGATGTGTTAGACTCACTCAAAATATATCTTTAGGGGATTCAAACCTAATTGAAGATCATGTCATACATTTATTATTTTTGGATTATACCATCACGATGTAAAAATGAAAATAAATATGGGCTTACCGAACAATTTTTCGAGAAACAAGAAATGTTGAAAAAATTATTTCATCATGTCTCAGATATTTTACTAGGATGAACATGGTATTACATTATCCAAAAAAAATGTAATTCAGGTCGTTAATTCAGGTTGATAATGTTTTTTTATTACCGCTATATGCAGTGAAAGTTATCTCCCATAATGCATTGCATATACCCGGTATGTGCAGTAACATGATCAGTAATGCAAAATTTGAATTCGGCTTGACCTGTATTAAAGGTCACACAATGTTATTACAAATTATGGACGACATGCAGCACTTTTCTGTAAATTTTTTGAAATCTCACAAAGCACCTCTGTTGGAGATGCATTCCTAATAAAGCATAATTATATATTTTGTTGATAAATTGATCAATAAAATTTAGTGAAATGGCCTGATTGATCATCAATGTTTGTAAAATGGTAAAATTAAAAAACTCATTTTATTCTTTCATCAGCTGTGAGGGTACATATGGAGGGAGCAGATGCCTTCGTGATTTGTGCGACAATTATTGCTACAACAGTGGAACATGTGAGGTGAACAGTGTGTCTAACGACAGAAAACCTGTGTGTCATTGTTCATCACCGTATGGAGGGGAGAGATGTGAGAAGAACTTGTGTAAGGATGTTGTCTGTTATAATGATGGAGTTTGTGAGTCTCTTGATGGTAAGTATGGGTACTGTAATATTCATGGCAAATATGGCGAATCAAGTAAAAACAAACCATGCATGGCACAGTCCCCGTTAGTTATCGAATTTAAGATATATAGTTTTGTTTATAGTAATATAGCTGGAATATAAACATGTCAGGAATATGATGATTGTTTAACATTTAAATGATTGACATTTGTATCTGATCGTCAAAAAAGTATTGAGAGATATTGCTCTGGAACAGCTTTAATTAAAACAAAATCAGCCATTTTGAATACATGTATAGTGAATATTTAAAATTTGAACATAATCAGTCACAGCAAGTCAGAGCCAGTCGGCCATTTTGAATCTTATCTGAAAACAAAATGATGTGCATCAAGGTCCTATAATGTCCAACGTATATACTAAGTTTGAACAGAATGCATCTGTAAACAGCCCAGAAATGCTTGATTTTGATGATTTTTAGAACAAAAATGGCCGCCATTCGACCATCTTGAATCAGATCATGAAACAAATTGATGTGCATATGTATAATATCATGCATGATGTATGTGTGAAGTTTGATTGTGATTGGTCTGCCATGTCTAAATGCTGCCATGGAAGGTAGTGGGAAAGGAAAGAGAATGAGTTTTAATTCAGTTTATTAGTCCAGTCCGAAAATGGGGACTTATGTTTTGACCTCTGTGTGTCCGTCAGTACTTGGTAATTGGTCTGAACTAATTTGAATAATGTGTTTACTAATTTGAATAATTCACTTCATGTACATGCATTATCTTATGCAATACTTAGCTTAACTTATATTTTGGTATAATAGTGACTTTAATCACCACCAGTTCCCTTTTTAGCACTGTCGACTTTCTCGAGCGGAGCTTATCATATGAGTGATTGTCCGTCGTCGTCC